ATGATGCTGCTTGGCCTGCTGTGTTCATCCGGCTCTACACCTTGTTATCTCAGATTTTCCAGCATCTGCAGTTCCTCCTACTTCTGAGTTGGAACATTAGTTTGCCTGAAATAACCTATGCAAGGGATTCTGTGGTTGAGAGGGTCAGGGACAATACTGGGTTAGATAAAAACACCAGCTCAATGGACATGGATATTTGGTAATGGCACAGGCATTGGCAGTGAGCTGTGACCCGGACATTGTTGCGCCTGCGCTGTGACCCAGACGTTGCGCCTGTGCTGTGAGGAGGAGGCGGTGGTATACGAGCGGTGCCGTTGTCAGGGAGCTGCTGTTGGTTGTGGGACGATGCTGACAAGCAGGGCCCACGGCTTAGCCCTGATTCTATCCCGGGGCCTGCACGGACTGTCGGGCCGCGGCGGGAGGCTCAGCCCGGGCTTGCGGCTGGGATCAAGTTCTGTGCGGCCTGTAGCCACAGTCTCAGCCGGTAAGTGATCCTGGGCCCTAGGCCCTGGGCCGAGGCGGCGGTAGGACTGAGGGCCGCTCTCACCGGTTTTGTATCTTTCCAGGTCTCGGGGAGGGAGCGAGTGCAAAGGCAGGCGCCCGGGAGCAGGAGGCCGTCCACAGCCGCCGTTATCAAAGCCACATCCCCAGCAGCCGGCTCCAGAAACTGCTGCTGGCCTCAGGATCCGCTCTCATGGCTTTATACAATCCGTACCGGCACGGTAAGATCCCACTGACAGCAACACACTGATATCCTGGACCTTATCCCTCACACAAGGAGGCACTGGAGTCACCCCGGGGAGGGTCAAGGTCACACTGGATCAACTGGGCAGGATCAGAATTATCCCAGATTCACTAGGAACGGTCAGGGGCACAATGGGGAGGTTCAGTGTCACACAGGAGCCACTGGGGAGGATCAGAATCAGACTGGATTCACTGCACTGTCAGCCTGTGTTTTTGTATTCAAGCCCTGGAATTAATCCTAGCTGAAAGGACTGCTGTCTTGTAGTTTAATTGTGTAGCATTTATGACATGAAGCCAGTTTGTGATTTGATTTGATTTATTGCCATATGTACCTAAGTACAGTCAAAAGCTATGTTTACGAGCAGTACAGGCAGATCATAGTAAACAAGGATGTGCAGATCATAAGAGTGAAAAAAAATCTTGGACAGAGGCATACAGGTTACATGGCACAGGGTGAGTGCTAGGCAAGATCAACATTAACAAGATAAACATTATGTGAAGTTAGAGAGGTCCGCTCATCAGTCTAATAACATCAGGGAAGAAGCTGTTCTTGAATCTGCCGATGTGTGTGTTCAAGCTTCTGTATCTTCTGCCTGACGGAAAAGGTTAGAGAGCATTGATGGGGTGGGATCGGTCTTTGATGATGTTGGCTGCGTTTCCGAGGCAGCGAGTTGTGTAGATGGAGTCCATCAATGGAAGGTTGGCTTCTGTGATGGTCGGGGCTGTGCACACAACCTTCTGTAGTCTCTTACAGTCCTGGGCAAAGCAGTTGCCATAGCAGGCCGTTATGCACCTGGACAGTAAGCTTTCAATGGTGCATCTGTAGAAGTTGGTGAGGGACCTTATGGACATGCCAAATTTCCTGAGCTGCCTGAGGAAGGAGAGGCGTTGTTGTGCCTTCTTGACTGTTGCATCTACATAGGAAGTCCAGGACAGATTGTCGGTTCTCATCACTCCTAGGAACTTGACGCTCCCAACCCTGTCAACCCAGCTCCGTTGATGTAGATGGGGGGCGGTGTTCTCCTCCTTTCTTTCTGAAGTCAATGATCAGTTCTTTGGTTTTGCCGACAGTGAGAGGTAGATTGTTCTCAGTGCACCATGTCACCAAGCCCTCCATCTCTTTTCTGTATTCTGCCTCGTCATTGTTTGATATCCATCCTTCCATGGTCTGGGTCTTTTTACTCAAATTTGCTCTTTTCTTTTTGTTGCAGATATGGTGGCTGTACTGGGAGAAACAACAGGGCTACTGGCAATCCAAAAGCTGCGAGACAGGATGCAAAACCATCCTGAGGGATTCCAGATTCTGCAGTAAGTGCAGCTGCAGTATTCATGCTGGAGTAGAGGCAGTGATAACCGGTAAAAGGAGCCGGTTGCTTGAATTTGATCTTTATAAAGTAAAAAGGTGGATAGCTGAACTAAAGGCAGAAGATGCTGTGAATACAGGGGCAGAGGGTGTGACACTGTGGGCAGAGGTAAAGGGGTTAGAGGGTGGGTCACTGGAGATGGCAGTAGCGTGGGGTAATGTCACCAGGCCAGTAATTCAGAGCTCCAGTCTCATGTTCTCAGAACATGGGTTCAGATCTTTACCATGGCAAATGATGAAATTTGAATTTATTACAGTCTTGAATTGAATGACAGTCTATTGGTGATGATATAGTTGCTGTTGCTGGGCTGAAAAATCTGTCTGGTTCTCTAATGTCCTTTAGGGAAGGAAATCTGCCATACTTACCTGGTCTGGCCCATGTGACTCCAGACTCTCAGCAATATTACCATCTAGCCAGGGATCAAACCTAGTTCAGTGGAGAGTGCACAAAGCCTGGAGCAGCACCAGGCATACCTAAAAGAGAGGTGTCGACCTGGTGAAGCTATCAAACAGGACTGCTTGCATGCCAGACAGCAGTGATAGACAGAGCTTAGCGATTCCACAACTGATGGATCAGATATAAGCTCTGCAGTCCTGCCACATTCAGTCAGGAACGGTGGTGGACAATTTAACAACTCACTGGAGGAGAAGTCTTCACAAATTTTCCAAACTTCAATGGTGGAAGAGCCCAGCACATCAAAGCAAAAGATAAGACTGAAGCATTTGCAACAATCGTCAGCTGGAAGTGCTGAGTGGATGATCCATCTCAGCCTTCTCGGTAGTCCCCAGCTTTACAGACACCAGTCCACAGCCAATTCGATTCACTCCATGTGATATCAAGAAATGCTTGGTGACACCGGATGTTGCAGAAGGCTACAGGCCCTAACAACATTCTGACAATAGTACTGAACACTTGTGCTTCAGAACTTGCTGTGCCCCTAGCCAAGCCATTCTAGTACAGATATAATGCTGATATTTACCTGACAATGTGGAAAATTGCTCTGATATGTTCTTTACACAAATAGTAGGACAAGTTAAAGCTAGTCAATAACCATCCCATCAGTCTACTCTGGATTATCAGCAAACTAACAATAGGCTGTTGGTAATGCTACCAAGTGGCACTTGTAAAGGAACAGCCTGCTCACTGTCCAGTTTGGGTTCTGCCAGGGCCACTCAGTTCCTGACCTCATTACAGCCTTGATTCAAACATGGACAAAATAGCTGAATTACAGAGGTAAGGTGAGAGTGACAGCCCTTGTCATCAAGGCTGCATTTGACAGAATGTGGCATTAAGGAGCCCTAGCAAAACTGGAGTCAGTAGGATTAAGGCAGGAAATTTGAGTCATACCTGGCACACGGGCACAAATGGTTGTTAGAGGTCAGTCATCTGAGCTCCAGGACTTCTCTGCAGGAGTACCTCAGAGTAGTGTCCTAGGCTCACCCATCTTCATCTGCTTCATCAATGACCTTCCCTCCATCATGAGGTCAGAGTGTTCATTGATGATTGCACAATGTTCAGCACCATTCACAACTCCTCAAACTCAAATAGTCCATGTTTAAATGCAATAAGACCTGGACAAATCCAGGCTTGCGCTGACAAGTGGCAAGTAACTTCCATGCCACACAAATGTTCAGGTAATGACTGACTCCAACAAGAATCTAACCATTGCCCTTTGACATTCAGTGGAACCCCTACTATCAAAATCCTGGAGTTACCATTAACCAGAAACTCAACTGCAGTAGTTATATAGATGAAGGAGGGAATGGCCTTGTAGTATTATCACTAGCCTATTAATCCAGAAACTTAGCTAATGTTCTGGGGACCCAGGTTCGAATCCCACCATGGTAGATGGTAAAATTTTAATTAAATAAAAATCTGGAATTAAGAGTCTAAGGATGACTGTGAAACCAGTGTCGACTGTTGGAAAAACCAGTCCGGTTCACTGATATCCTTTAGGGACCGAAACTGCCAACCTTACATGGCCTGGCCTACATGTGACCCCAGACCAACAACAATATTGTTGAGCCTTGACTGTCCTTTGGAGATGGGTAATAAATGTTGGCCTGGCCAGCGACACCCAAATCCCATGAATTAATTTAAAAATATATAAATATGGTGGCTACAAGACCAGATCAGAGGCTAGGAATCCTACTGTGAGTAACTAATTTCCAGACTCCCTAAAGCCTGTCCGTGAGGCACAAGTGAGGCAGGAACACTACCGCCTTCAAGCTCCCCTCCAAGCCACTCACCATTCCTGACGTGGAAATATATTGCCATCCCTTCACTCTCACTGGGTCAAAATCCTAGAATTCCTCCTCTCCACCCGCGCCCCCCCCCCCCAGGGCACTGTGGGTCTACCTACAGCTGTGGACTGTAGCAGTTCAAGAAGGCAACTTACCACCACAGGGTGGGGGTGGTGAGTTTGGCGGTGAGGGAATTTGAGAGAGAATAAGGCACGTCAGGAAGCTGTGTATCTGAGACAGGAAGTTTGGGTGTTTAAGCCAGTACATGGAGAGAGAGACCAGGTCCCGTGGTTTGAAATTTTTGGAGCAGTGAGAGAAGGTTTAGTGTGGATTTTATCACATTCGGAAGAGATAATATATATGGCAGCAGATTAGGATCTTGTAGGGAGCAGTGGCCGTTCAGTAAAGTCCTGTTGATTAAGAAGTGATCAAGGGGGGAAAATGCAGGTTCATTTTCATCATTCGCTGCAGCTCACTCCATTCCTAAGGTCAGGAGTTCACTGTGTCCCTCGGGTCCTTGTTTCTAGGGAGAGGCCTCGGATCAGCACAACCACCTTGGATCTGGTCAAACTGAGAGAGTTACCTGAAGGCACATTTGGCAGAGAGTACGTCCGCTTCCTTGATGTGAATGTGAGTGGTACTTTGCTAACCTGGCCTGATTGTAACTGGGCAAAATGAGAGAGAGCTGTGGTATCCTATACCAGGCAGTCAGCCACTTGTGCACAATAACTGTCTTTACACTCACACATAGGCCACTTGGCCCCTCCAGCCTGCTCTGCCATTTAATGAAATCATGGCTGATCCAATTACTCCACATTTCTGCCCATCCGTTCACCCAATTGTTTGTCAAGAATCCATCTGCTTCATCCATAAAAGATCTGCCACTCTCTAAGTCAGTTCCAAAGACTCGAAATCCCCTGTGAGAAAAATATTTTCTTCATCTCTCTCTCACTCAAGTATGCAACAGCTTAGTTTTTAACAGTGATTCCAGTTCTAGATTCTCCCACAAGAGAAGTTCTCTCCACATCCACCCTGTGGAGACCACTCAGTATCTTGTCTGTTTTATCAAGTTGCCTCTTCTAAAATATAGCAGGTACAAACCTAGCCTGTCCAATGTTTTGTCATAAAATGACAGCTCAGTCCAGTTATTGGTCTTGTAAACCTTCTCTGAATTGCTTCCAACTCATTCTTGCTTAAAGCGAGGAGACCAATTCTCCAGTTTCGGCCTCGTCAGTGCCCTGTGTAATAAAGCCCCTAACCTCCTGACTTTTACATTTAATTCCCCTCATAATAAATAATAACATTCTAGTATCTTTCCTGATTACCTGCTGTACCTGCATATGACCCCTTATGATTCATGTGCTAGGACACTGAGATCTCTCTGCATCTCAGAGCTTTGCAGTCTCACAATTTAGATAATATGCTTCTTTATTCTTCCTGCCAAAATGAACAGCTTCATCTTTTCCCACATTATACCCTATCTGTCAAACCTCTTGCCCTCTTGTGACCGATCCACCCCTCAGCCTCCTTCTGTCCTTTTTGCAGCTATTTTCGTGTCATTAGTAAATTTCACTAACATACTATAGGTCCTTTAAGTCATTTATATAAATTGTAAGAATTTGAGGTCCTTGCACTGATCCTTGTGGCACAGTATTCATTTATTACATCTTGCCCAAAAGAAAATGGCCCATTTATACCAATCTATGTTTTCCTGTGTACAATGAGCTTTCATTATGGCATATGAACATGGTTAGTAAGCGTGATGAGGTGCAGGCTCAAGTTATATATTGGGACAGGATATAATGGCAATGACAGAGACCTGGCACCAAGTACAGCAAAGAAGAAAGGAAGGACCAGTGGGAGCACTGAAATACAAATACTGGAGAGAAATGGTATTGTCAAGGGGCCAGTCGCAGAGTCTGTTTAGTTCAGGGTAAGGGCAAAATTGAAGCCATTAACCTGCTGGGTGTATACAATGGTCGGAGGAGCAACAGGTTTTCAGGTATTTTGTAGAGAACTGGAAGTAGTACAGAGTAGTGATAATGGAGGACAGTGTTTACTGTAATATAAACTGGGATAGTAACAGTATCAAGTGCAAAGGAGGGAAGGAATTCCTGAAACATGTACAAGGAAGCTTTCTCAATCAGTGTCTGATCCAACAAGAAAGCTGATGCACTCTGGGAATGAAGTGGGACATTGGAGCATATTGCCATGGGAGACCGTTTGGAGGACAGAGATCATTGTATCATCAGGGTTTAGAATAATTATGGAAAATTCTAGGAAATCAGGGAGGGTCTAACTTCACTGAGGTGAAAAGGAATTTGGACCAGGAGAATTGGAATCAAAGATTGGCAGGAGCTTAGTTAATGAACAATGATCTGAGAGCCCAAATTGAAGTGAATAAGTATAATCTGGTGGCCGTGAGACATAGCTGCAGGATGACATGGATTGGGCCCTGAATCTTGAAGGGTATTGGACACTTAGGAATGCCAGGAAAGCTGGTAAAGGTGGAGGGGTGGCTCTGATAGTTAATTATTATATTAGCACAGTAGACAGGGATGACCTAATTTCAGAAAACCAGGGTATGGAAACATTTAGGGTAGAGATGAGAAATGATAAATGTAAAAAGTCACATAGGAGGGATATACAGGCCTCCTAACAGTAACTAGATAGTAGCATAGAGTAGCAAGGAAGAAATAAGGAGAACTTTTCAGTAAAACACTACAGTGATGATGGGAGATTATAATCTTTATATCAACTGGAAAAGTCCGGTGGGCAAAGGTAATCCTAGACAAGGAGATAACCATGTTTTCAGGATTGTTTCTCAGACAGCGCATTCTGGGCCTGATCCACCTCATGTGGAGGGAGAATGGTTACATGGTGAGATATCAGGGCTCAGGCTCCCTGACAATTTCCCAGTGGAGCCATTCCTACTGAAACAAGAGTCAAATTACTGAGAGGAAAGAAAGTCTCGTGTTTTGATTGCACCTTCAATGTTGCAAGCATCTACCAGCCAGTGAAATGTGTTTTGAAGTGTAGTCACATGGCAAGATCCCACAAGCAGCAGTTTGATAATGAGCAGTGTGTCTGTTTGTGATATTAGTTCAGCATCAGAAAATGAGCGGGAATGTCCCATACATTTTTCTGAAATGATTCAGTGGATCATTGACACTCACCCAAGAGACAAGACAAGGCATCCCTCGGCACTGACCCCCCCGACAGTAGCAGCCAGAGGTTAGACTGTTCGGAGGCGTGAACAGACCTGAAAGCGGTGAGCAGCTCAGGTCAATGAATATTCTTTCCAGCACAGATATAAAGAACCAAACCCCCTCCGCAGCCTCTTCACTCACCACACAGTGAGGAGTAAACTCTGGAGAACTTTATAAGATTCAAAAATCAATAAATTCCCTGGAAATCTGGGCTATGTAAAGGAGTGCTGAGAGAAACTGGGGAAGAAGTAGGACTTATCTGGGAGTGATACTGAGAGAGACTGAGGAAGTGCTGGGATTTATATGAAAGTGCTGAGAGACTGGGGAAGAGGTTAGATTTATGAGTGTGTTGAGAGACTGTGAAAGTGCTGGAATTTATCCAGGAATGCTGGGAGAGACTTGGGAAATTTTGGAAGTTATCTGGAGGTGCTCAGAAAGCTGGGATTTATCCAGGAAAGTGCTGAGGGAGACTGGGGAAGTGATGTGATTTATTTAGCAGCTGAGAGAGACTAGGCAGTGCTGGGATTTTTCTGGGAATGCTGACAGACTGGGAAAGAGCTGAGATTTATCTTGGAGTGCTGAGAGAGACCGGGCAAGTGCTGGAGTTTATCTGGAGCATGTTGAGAGAGACTGGGGAGGAGTTGGGATTTATCCGGGATTGCTGAACCAAATGGGGAAATGCTGGAATTTATCCGTGAGTGCTACATAGACTGGGGTAGTGATGGGAATTATATGGAAGTGCTGAGATATGGAAGATGAATGATTTATCTAGGGAGTGGCGTAGGACACTAGGAAGTGCTGGGATTTAACCGGGATTGCTGAGAGAAACTGGGAATAGCTGGTATTCATCCGAGACTGCTCAGAGAGCCTGAGGAGATTAGTGTGGAATTGATGGTCGTATGAAATAATCATTGAGGATGCTATGATTAAAAAGGAATGGATAATTGGTTGATCAAATCAAACATGACAAAATGCAGACAGACAATTACAGAACCGAGTGATCTTGTTTTGACCCTTCTAAAAGAATGGAAATAATGAGTCATTTGAGGATAATCTCCATCACTGTCACTGTTCCCAGCAGGCAGGCTGCACTGAGCTGAGGAAGGTGGGACCTAACAAGCTGTCTTGTCCTGTGTGAGGACGAAGCAAACGGAGTGCACTTCAAAGGCCCTATTGCAGTAGACTCCTGAACTAGTTCAGTATCAGAAGCTGCTTTTTGAATTTCTGAATTGTACCGATTCAGCACAGGATGAGGGGGTCACTGGCTAGGTCAGCATTCATCGTCCATCCCTGATTGCCCAGAGGGCTGCTTTAAGAGTGAACCACAGTGCTGTGGGCCTGGAGTCACGTGTAGGCCAGACCAGGTAAGGATGGCAGTTTCCTTCCCTAAAGGGTATTCGTGAGCTGTGGTGACATTAATGACGGTGCCTTGTAGGTTTACAAGAATGTTAACTACAGTTGAATCTTGAGGGGAAGAGTCTATAAACTAGTATTGTATTTTATGGAGTTTAAAAAGTTATGGAGTGATTTTAAAAAAAATTTTCAAGGTATTATGGGGAATTGATAATGTAGATAGAGAGACACTGTTTCTGTGAGTTGGTGTCTCAACCTGAAAACGTAGCCTAGAAATGAGGATTTAAGTTATGGAGGGTTCTTTAAGTTGCTTAAATATTATATTTAGATCTGAGGTTTATAAAAGTTTGTTAACCAAAAGTAAAAGGGATATGGGACAACTGCAGAGGTCTGGTGATAAGTCACTAAGCAAGCTTAAATGGTGAGTGAATATGACAGGTAGGTGTACTCTCATATACAGTACAGCATGTACCCACTTGCTCCTGTTTCTTTTTCAATTAACTTATTTTTCTAATAAGCCTGTTCAGAGATGTTATTACACACTGCTGGAGCATGTGGGACTATGAACCAGGGCCTCCAAGTCCAGGCGGTCTCCTATTCAAGTACTAACTAGGTTTGAGTATGCTTAGCTTCCGAAATCAGTAGAGATCGGGCGTTTTATTTCAGACAAGAATAGCCATAGGCAGTATACTCCTAATGTTCTGTGCTGTCTAATGCGTGTATGTGCATGCTCTAGTTGTGATTAAGAGCAGCTAATACCTAGGATAACTGGGGAAAGATGGGGATCCTTTTATAAGAAGTTCTTGTGCAATGGTAGTATCCCTGCTTTTGAGCCGGAGGTGCTGGGTTCAAGTCCCATCTATCTTGTATCCATAATTAACTGAGCAAGTTGATGAGAAAAACCAGGTCATTTGAGCTGACATTCACACCCTGGAGAGGGAGGATGCAGTGTTGATCAGGATGATTGAGGTCCTCTGTCACCAATGGACAGTACAGGTGTTTGGCTGCAGTATTTCCACCCACAGTGATATTTTAACCTAACTTCTGAAATTTAAACATCTGATTTCTTTTATCCCTTTACATGTTATCTTTTAATTTGGGTTTATTAGTCACTCAAAATAGTATAAAATGACAATTGCCCTTTAAGGGGTATTGCTGATTAATTTGCTTTATTGAAAATAGGGACAGCAGTAGGCCATTTGGCCCTTTGAGCCTGCTCTGCCATTCACTGTGATCATGACTGATTGTCCAACCTCTACCCTGTTCCCAGCTTTTCCACATTCTCTTTGATCCCTTTAACTCTAAGAAGTATATCTAATTCATCTTGAAATTATTCAATGTTCTGGCCTCAACCACTTCCTGTGGCAGAGTTCCATATGCTCACCACTCTCTGGGTGAAGACATTTCTCCTCATCTCAGTCCTAAATGGTCGACCCTGTATCTTAGTCTGTGACCCCTGGTTGTGGACTCACCAGTCACCAGGAACATCCACTCTGCATTTACTCTGTCTAGTCCTGTTAACAGTTTTATTGGTTTCTGAGAGATCCACCCTTCATTCTTCTAAACCCCAGCGAATATAGTCCTAATCAATTCAGTCTGTCTTTACATGTCAGTCCTACCATCCCAGGAATGAGTCTGGTAAAACTTTGTTGCATTCCCCCTATAGCAAGAACATCCTTTCTCAGATAAGACTCAAAACTGAAGACAATACCCCAGGTGTGGTCTCACCAAGGCCCCTGTATAATTGCAGCAGGACACCCCTGCTCCTGACTCAAATACTCTTGCTATGAAGGCAAAGATAACCATTTGTTTTCTTCATCACCTGCTGAACCTGCATGCTTACTGTCTGCCTGGTGTACAAGGGCACCGTCATTACACCTGCCCCCTTTCCCAAACAATCGCTGTTCAGTCAATAATCTGCCTTCTTGTTTTGCTACCTCACATTTATCCACATTATATGTCATCTACCATGCACTTGCCCACTCACTGAACTTGTCCCAATTACACTGAAGCATCTGTGGATCCTCCTCACAGCTCACCCTCCCACTCAGCTTTGCGTTTGTCTGCAAATTTTAGTTCCCTCATCTAAATCATTAACACAGATTGTCAATAGCTGCGGTCCAAATACTGATCCTGTGGTACCCTACAGTCACTGGCTGCCACTCATTTATTCCTACTCATTGTTTCCTGTCTGCTAACCAGTTCTGTGTCCATGTCAGTACACTACCCCAATCCCAACCAGTATAGTATTCATGCTAATTTGTTACATGGGACCTTACTGAAAGCCTTTTGAAAGTTCAAGTAAACTACAAGTCATTGGATTCCCCTCAGCAGCTCTTCTAGTTACATCATTGTAAAATTCCAGTCAATTCGTCAAGCAGATTTCCCTTTCATAAATCCATGCTGACGTTGTCTGATCCTATTTTCCCCAAGTGCTCTGCTATTAAATCTTTTATAATTAACTTTAGTTTAATAACATAAACACGCATTCTCTTTAAAGATAGTTCTGCAGTTAGCTAGTTAATGAGTTCATTTAATTTACTCAAGTATTAAAGTCAGTTTGGGGGAGGAGGTGGAGTAAAATCATAACATCAGTGGACTGGAAGTCCAGAACTCAGGCTGATGTTCTGGGGACATGGGTTCAAATCCCATCATGAAGTGTGAATTTGGGGCTATGGTTGTAGTGTCCCTACCTCTGAGCCAAGAGGCCCAGCTTCAAGTCCCACCTGCTCCAGAGGTCTGTAACAACATCCCTGAACAGGATGATATAGAAATAAGTATAGATAAGGTTTATTTTCTCTAAGATGGCGGATTCCAAAACTAGGGGGCATATTTTTAAGATGACAGGAAAAAGAGTTAGAAAAGACGTGACAGGCAACTTTTTTACACAGTGGTTTGAGTGTGGAATGAACTTCCAGAGGAAGTTGTGGATGCAGGTACAGTTACAATGTTTAAAAGACATTTGGATGAGTACATGAATAAGAAATGTTTGGAAGGATACAGGCCAAATGCAGGCAGGTGCGACTAATTTAATATGGCATTATTGTCTCCATGATTGGTTGGACCAAAGAGTCTGTTTCTGTGCTCTGTGACTGTATAAAAGCCAGTGCCGCATGCTTTGGGTGACTCCCTGGTTGGGAATAATCCCCTGCACTGACCGTGAACTGTGTATTGTGAATTCATCGTGGGCCGAAGGGCCTGTACTGTTCTAATAAACCCGTGTGGAAGACACACCAGCTTCTGCATCTTCCTCCACCAAATGCTTTCCAGATTAACAGCTCACCGGTCTGCTTCCTCGTCAATAGAGTGCCAACACACATCAGTTCCTTTTGCTTTACAGAGGGTCACTCCTGACAGTCGGATGCCTGTGAAGTTTGTTGATGATGAGGAACTTGCCTATGTGATTCAGCGTTACCGTGAAGTACATGACTTCATGCACACACTGTTAGGCATGCCCACAAACATACTCGGTAAGTCATATCACTCAGACCAATTTGCCTGTTGCCACTAAGATTCTTCCTCAGGTTAATTCCCTGTGTGTATCTGCAACGATAGTTAACAGCAATAAGACCCTCCTAGCCCCAGACCTTTTTGCTCTGGCATTGTTAGTAATTATAAATATGTGATCATAAAATTGTGTAAGTTGTCTATCTCTGGGTTGTGAAACGGCAATTCAGACTGATGGATTAAAAATCCCGTTTCTCTGCTGATTACAAGGCACCCCTGTGAACAACCAAAGTCAACCGATTGAAGAAAGTAATTCAATGAGGTGTGAATAAAGGACTAATGAAATACCACAGAAGGTATAATTTTAATTTCAAGTTTGCAGGACAATACATACTGAGAATTATGCTTGTTCTAAACAAATGAGGTGCAGAGAGAGGTAATAACAAACTCATAGTGAAGAAAACAAGCTCCCATCTTGCAGATACAAAGAGAAGGTTGACCAGCAGCAATACAAGAGAAATGCAGTGCAAAGGGCACCCAGGAAATGCCTCCAATAACGGTAAATGTAATATTCTTCGTGATTTCGACAGGAAGTTAGCAGGATCAAAACTCAAGACAGGATAGTGCATGTTCTACATGGTCATTTAGTGTAGGGGAGATGATCGACATCATTTTCGGCTATAAACATAGTAAAATCAATCTTTGTATCACTGTGATTGAAGTCTTAAACAAGCTAATTGGTTGTCAAGAAATGAGTCCCCAGAAAGAGATGGGATTCATGCTGCTGAAGACTAGGGAGATTTTTAAGGCACTGACACTGGGCAAATTAGTAGACACTGAGGCGGCAACTATAAACTGGAAACAGGATAATGCGCTCCTTAAGAAGGAAACTAAGCAGACAGAGGCAACCACAAATCTGTGAGGAGCAGATGAAATAAAGCCAGCCAGCAGCTTATTATCACAGCAGCAAAGTTCTTTCCTCAAGACCATTAAGAAGGAAGTAAGGGAAAAGAAAATAGGTATGGAAGGAAAAGGATAGCTTCAAGTGATTGATGCACAATTGGGGGCAGCTAATTGACAAGCAGGAGAGAGAAACTGGAGAATTAGGGCAGGCCACTGTGATCAGTGCTGTACATAATTTAGATCAGGAGCTGGACTCAAACTCAGTGTCAAGTGGCCTTTTGTTTTTGCAGAAGATATCAAACTGGGATCTCAGAATTAAAGAATAAATTGGATAAAATGAGGGGCAGAGTGGTTGTAATTAACTCAAACTAGTTGCTTTGAAGAAGAAATGTATACAACATTTACTCTTTCGAAGGCCATCGAATAACTCAGGAACAAGGGAGTGACCATGAAATCTTTGGTTAATCAACATTCAACAAGTTCAAGCAATACAGAGCAACATCAAACTTGGGGTGAAATTGGACTAAAATGAAGCAATGAGAATAGTGATCAAACTACATGGAGCTCCAGTTTGTGCTGCCTCCTGGGGAATCGTGGCCAGTTCTGGTCCAAGCTGCCATTAAGATATAGCTATGTTGCTGGAGACGGAGAAAGTTGTGAATGTGGGAGAAGAATGGAAGGCCAGGGATGGAGGGATAGAGTACAGAGTTAGGAAGACGATGGGTTGAGGGATGAAGACTGATGCTAGATCCTCTGGGCTGGGAGCAGAGAGTGGGATACTTCAATTACAGCCTCAGAAACGATGGAAGGTTGTTGAATTTATGAAGGTTACTGATCAGACTGAGAGGGGCAGTGTTAGGAGACTGGAAATGAGGAAAAGCTGGAAAAACTACTATTTATTTTGGAAAGGACTAGGTCTTGGAAATGATCTTAAAGTTACAAAATAATGAAGAGAATTGGATGATATACTACTTTAGCAAGAACAGGACAGGTTCAAACTAGTAACAGCTGAGCCTAGGACTAACATTGGCAAGTGTTTTTCCTCTCTAAGCAATTGACACTTGGAATGTCTGAATATGATGCAGCCAAAAGCCCTGAAGTTATTTGAAGAATCAGTTGAACTAGGAGGGGAGGGGAGTGTCCCTCACTCGATAAATAAGTCAGGACATGTTGTTTAGCCTTCTGTCATCAATTATCACCGCATGCACTTTAGGGCAGCAGTGATCCATTTCACAGTGCACATGAGTGCAGGCAGAAGATGTCCAAGTTCTGAGGAAGGGTCACTGGACCCAAAACATTACCTCTGATTACTCTCCACTAATGCTGCCAGACCTGCTGAGCTTTTCCAGCAATTTCCGGTCTTATTTCTGATTTCCAGTATCTGCGGTTCTTTTGGTTTTTATTTAGATGATGACCAAGGTTCAGCCTGTACATTGCAATCACGACCAGCATTGGTTTGCGAAATGACTATCACACTGTATCAGCAGGGATATTGCCCTGAAGATCAGCTTCAGAAACATTTCGCCTTCTCTACCTGAGATAGTAGGAACTGCAGATGCTGGAGAATCCGAGACAACAAGG